AGGAAAGAGCAAATTAAAAAAATTAGTGTATTTCAGAAGTGGCATGTAGTATTGCTGTGAAATTGTGTGTTAGTTTACAGTGGTTGGCATGGTAACAATATTTGCAACAGACTAACTCTTTATGTACAGTGTCGCTGACTGCTCATTTGTGTTTATCACTTTATTCTATGATGTTGAACTATTCATATTTATTATTTTTGTATTTAAACTTTGTTTTTAATTACATTTCAAGTGTATGAAACATGCTCTTAAAAGAAAGTCTGCAATTGTCATTCCAAAAGACCTGCCAGAATGTGATTCGATCAGTGATCAACTCACTATGGATGCAGTCAATCCAACCAATGGACATGATGATGTCTCCAGGAATGGCTATTACCCAGAAACTGTGAGAAGAACGGAATCCCTGTCAAGTTGGGAATACCAGAATACGGAAGAGAAAGAAAGCGATGAATGTCCATCTGCTAGGATACCACCGCAATGTCAGGATATGTATTCTGGAAAACAGAGTTCTGAAGCAAGTAATGATATGGAGAGTAGTGGCAATGATGAATGGCATAGAGCTCCTCTTGCCAGACCAGAAAGTCTATCAGCATCAAGTTCTATGTATTCTGTTGTCTCAGAATCCCGGAAATCTTCATTTAATGCAAAAACTGGAAGGGCATTCCGTCCTGAAGGATACTGTTATTATGTTGATCCTGTGGAATCACCGGAAGAAGCTTACGGAAGAACATTTGCACCAGCACCTTTATCCGGCCGAAATCAGATAACAACATTAGCCACAATAGAAGGGACACCGACACACTACGTGGGCGGTGTGACGCCTGACTATACAAACAAAGCGTCAGGTTTGGAGTACGTAAATGAAACCCCACTTAGCACAGTTCAAAGTTCAGACTCAGGTGTTATTACAACAGGTGAAGATATCCCATTAACAGTTTTGACACGTCCCTTGCCTGAAGGTTCACCTCCACCCAAACCACCACGTTTACAATCAAAATCAAATCAAGATAATCCAAAAGGTGAGTACTATATTCCTCTCTCCTTTAGTTAAATGGTATGACTTTCTTTGCATGAGTAGATAGACATGAGTGGACAATTCCGTTCACTGTGGGGGTGGTCAGGTCAAATGAAACTATTAAAACTATTTGAGTTGAAAATTTGAAAAATGTACGGTATTTGTTTTAAAGCTTCAAACTTATTAAATTCTCCACCAAAATATAACAAAGTTATTCAAAAATATATAAGGGAACAAACTCACTCACTCTAAAAATGAAAATAAAAAGAAATATGAGTGTTCTGAGTCAATATAAGAGTACTGACATTAAAATTTGGGTCTCCCTGATATCTGATTTGTCTAAAATATATACAATTGTAAATTGTTTAATTTTTCTATGCTTGGGATTCTAATGATTTTATGATTATATAGCATTAGTGAAGACAAAATTAAGACACCAGAACAATTTTCACTGCTATAAAACGATTTCCAATGACTTTCAAAAATTTGTCTATCACGAAATTAACCCTTTTGAATGCCCTAGTCTACTTTTGTCACTATTCACAAAAATGAATTTGCATATTATTTTTTTTCCATATTTTTGCAAAGATTTTGACCAAGGTCTGCATCCAATGAGAAATTATGTTCATTTGATGCAAAATTAAGAAAAACAAATTATATAAATGTGGAAATATATGGTTCTCAAAGAGTTGACCTTTTCACCACCAGTTCCCTCTTTTCATCACAAATTCACAAAATAGTCCTGTTTATAGTCCTTCAGAGACAAAAATAGCCAATGTTTTGAGTAAAAACTGAAATTTGACCCAAGTTTTGTCTGTTGGCTCTAAAATTAGGGTTCATTTCCAGAAATATTGAAGAATATGAGAAAAAAAGTGCAGAAAAAATTGGGCAAGCAAGTCTGTAGTATTTTTGTTGCTAAATCTCAAAATTACAGTTGACATATTTAACATGACAGCCAGGTGACCTTTTGATATTTTTATGAATCTCAGAGTTAAAAATAATGTATTAGAAATAAACAAATATCTTGTCACCGTAATCCTGAAAATAGTTGTAATTTGTTTAATGAGAAGATATCAAGCAAACAATTAAATTAAATTTGCGTCTTTTACTCCTTTTCATTCTTGTACAAATATTTTGTGAGATCTTTGCAACATTGTTTATGAGTACAAACTATGAACCAATTAACGTAAAATATATATTACAATTTCAATTATAAATATTTTAAACTCAAAACAATGATAATTATCATCAGCTGATATTTCACAATTGTAAACAATGTACTGTATGATAACAGATTAGAATGTCAAGTACAATCCTTGCTGACTAGGTCATGTGTATGTGAATGTTACCACATGGAGTAAGGGTGGAAAATCACACTTAGAGATATTTTGTCCTTTTTAGATGATGGTTTTTAATTCCTGGTAAAGGTTTATCCAAGTTGGTAAGATGTGAATTTTTTGAAAAGCTCACAGAGCATGGTGAATTATCATGTAGAGGTCAAAGGTTAAAATGCATGACATCCATCTGTAGGGGGCAGTGTTTATAAGTCTTTTAGGCTGTGCGAACAAATACATAGACTCTTCTCCCGTGTTTATGAGTGTATACACACCTTATATGGTATGCTAGAGTGAGTTCTAATGAATATTTATTAAATCATGTGTATCTTCCTCTATTATTGGAAGCATATACCATATTTAGTGATATCTTGATAAAGAGCAAATACTGCCCCCTACAGTTGAAACCGCATGCCCAGAAATGAACTTAGTCATGGATCAATAACTGGATTAAATAATAATAATTCAGTTGGTGTGAAGACACATGAATAATTGACGACTTCTTCATTTGCATACTAAATTCATCTTCTTTTTCAGGTGTTATGGTATATGGATGTTCTAAGTTTTCATTTCTCCTTCATTCTGTAATTCTCATACTAACTTCATGTTTGTTTCATTTTAATATCATCATTGTTATCCATTATTTTAATCAATTATGCTAATCAATTAATGGCTTGACTTTATTTTCACCATGCGTTCATTGTATTCACTTGTGGCTGTTGCTCCCACACAGTTGTTCATTTTGTTGAAGATTTATACTACCCGCAAATACCCCAAGTTGGTAGGTCTTGCATCGTTGATTTTATCTTAGTTTGTAGTATGTAGATTTCATTTGTAGCCATTAACAGATTAACACAATGTTTCTTCCTGCACTCGTTAGTTCAAGTCATACTGCCCTCTGTGTTGTCTTTCCTGTTACACTGTCCTCTGTCGTTTCATTTCATAATATTATGCCTTTTGTGTTTTCATGGGTAGAAATCTAGATAGAGAGATGACATTGTCTTCAAGTCTCTGGAAATTAATGTCGTACAATACCGTATGTGAATGTAACATGGTATCAACTATGTTTACCTAGCTAATAAGTTTACTACCAGTACTATTTTATTGTTATTCATTGTCTGTCAGTCAGTTCAAGGGTGGCAGGCAAAAGTGCCTGGGTTAATACAATACTAGAAATAATACATGAATATTTTCATTCTTGGATAAAATAAGTTATTAGTAACATTCTAGAAATGGGAAAAAAACAGTACTACGAGCATTGCCGTGGTGACATGTTTTGATCAAACTCATACATGTAGTGGTTTTGCTCAAACTCTGAGTTTTAGAATACGTCTAGTGCGTACAAAACATGGCCACGCGCTTTTTGACAATGTTCAAATGTAGGACGCTTTCACCCCACTTTTCATAATAAATAGACGGGGTATGACACCTCCAAAGCTGACCAATAGGTGATCGTCATATAGAACATGTGACCTGCAATTTTTCGTCCAATGTTCGTACCAGTGCATACGTGTACTCCTGGTATGCTCTTCTTCGCATTATTAAGCATGTTATTAAGCATGCCATTTATAAAACAAAGTCCAAAAAAATCAAAACCATCACATAAAAATTACGTACTATTTTACATTAAAACAATGATGATGTGGTTATTAGGCAATCGACTGTCAGCTACGAATACCACAAATAATGTACGAGAAGTCTGGTACGTGATGTGTCCGAAAATGGGATGCACCATGTCATACCCCGTCTATTTTATAGTTTAGCGAGATTTCTCATTTATAGCGGAACACAGATGCACACACAATTGTGAAATGGAAGCACGTGCAATTCATTGATAGCGGCGCTGTTAAATATGTATGCTGCTATTGATAACTTACAACTTATCTTATTAAATAACTTATCTAATACGTGTCAAATTGGTAAGGAAATTAAATTTACATATAATGGCGCAGTATCTAGTTGGTGTGTATATTTAATACGAATATTATTTTTTAAATCTTTCAAAGCAGAATGTATCACTGATCCAACACTTTTGCCTAACGCCCTTGGTTAGTTTCAAAAAGTTGTATATTGGCTATTGTGCATACTAATTAACTGATTTGCATTTTGTGTTGCAATTGTTATTTGCAGATATACCTCACCGTTCGTCACTGCCGACCTCACCCGCACCGACTCTTGGACGAGGTTATACAGAGTACATGCCTCTGATTTATCCTGACTTTGACGATGGAATGTTTAGTCCAATTGTGAAAGATGACAATGCCAAGGAGACTGACAGATTAACTGGTGATGAGAGACAATTTGTAACATCCACACCAAGTGTCAAAAGAAATCTATCAAAGGAATACCAGGGACTTAAGGATTACCAGGGACTTAAGGAGACAAAGTGTTGATATTACCTAGGACTTAAGGAGACAAAATATTGATTTTTAAAATCATTTTTAATGTTGTCTTGAAATCAAGATATTTTTTTTTCAAACCTGCTCTGGATTTTTGTTATCATTATTTACAAACTGTATGCAATATATGTTTTATTTATGATTTATTTTGCAATAAGTGGTGGCCCTGTAAGTTACTGGTTTATATTTTTTTTTGAGAAGGTGTATATCACATGTGAATACATTTGTTAAGTTCATATAACCAGTTTGGGTGAGTCAGGATTCAGAATACAAGACGAAATGTGGATCACAAACACTGCGAATACTTTGTTTTTTTAAGTTTGATACATGCTGTGTATTTAGTATGACACTGGTAAATATAAATTAATTTAAGAATTTTAAAACCCCAAACAATGAAAAAAAAAACCAACCCCAACCCCAACCACAACCCTTACAACTATACAGACCCCTCACTGACCTCCAACCCCAACCCTTACAACTATACAGACCACTCACTGACCTCTGACCTTAACCATTACAACTATACCGATTCCACACTGACCTCTGACCCTAACCCTATTTGCTCACCACTAAGGTTCTCTGTTTTATTTGAAGCTCATGTAAATTACAGATGTGTTTTTTGTCTAAATGAGTCATAATGAAGTAAACTAGAGTACCACAAATATGATTTTAGGTTTGTATAAACCCACATTGCCATCCCACTTCATCAAGAAGCAGTTTATGTTCATTATTGCAATTCATTTTCTAAAACCGTGTGATGTAGATTTCATAGATTTGGTTCTGCATAGGCCTAGTGTATACATGAATATATAAACAGATACTCTCAACTGATATGTGTAATGTATATATCTCAATCATAGTTCAGCAGACTTATTCAGTAAATAACCCATTTTGAATAACTATTTTGCTCCATACATCAATGTTTAGTGGCAGTGATTCCTTCCAGCCTTACTGGACTGTGATATACCCCAGATGATCCTATTCTGAACTGTGTATTTAATTTGAATAGAGTTGAATTGACACTTGTCCACCCGAACTTACCATGTACATATACCCAACAGTCACCTGACCTTACCCTGTTCCCAGCAATCACCTGACTGCATGCACACCTATATGACCACCTGACCTTACCCTGTACCT